ATAAAACACAGGAAGCAGGCCAAATGTGGCCCATAGGTTAAGGTCTGCTGAGCCCTGCTCTAAAGCAGACACTGCTCTGGTGCAAGACCCAAAAATATTTCTAGAAATACAAAGCTATCCAGGACCAGCCCTAAAAGTCAGCCTGCACACCAAAGGGCCACAGGGCATGTTCCTGGGTTGCAGATTCAATCCCCAGTTCTGGTCAGGCTATGTGCAAGAGGCGACCAATCTCCCTTTCTCTCTTCCTCCCTCCTTCCCTCCCTCCCTGCCTTCTTCTATCCCTTCTCCTTACCTCCCTTCTACTTTCTCTAAAAGTCAATGAAAAAATATATTCTCAGGTGAGGATTAACAATACACACACACACACACACACACACACACTCTAGAGTTACGATGTACAAATTTGTGCACATGTGGGATCTGGCCAGCCCACCCTGATAGGAGCCTGATAGGGCTGGGCCAGTTTTGGGGAGGGACCACAGGCAGTTGGCCAGCTGGTCCTGCCCCTAATTCGGGGGGGAGGAGGCAATTGGGGGGCTGGGCTGGAGGGGGGCGGGGATTGCGCAGACAGGTTGGTTGGCTGCCACGTCATAGCCACCGGTTGTTCTGATCATTCCACCATTCCAGTCACTGGGCTGATAGATAGATAGATAGATAGATAGATAGATAGATAGATAGATAGATAGATAGAAAGAAAAATTCACAGTACCTGGCTTCCAAATGAATATTTCCCCTCTAATATTAGAAATAAGGCAAGGATGTCAGCTCTTATCATTTCTATAAGGCAGGGGAGGGGGGGAAAAAAAGACATCCAGATTGAAACGAAGGAGGGAAACTATGCCAATTGAAAAACAGAGACCATCAGAGTGGATCAAAACAGAGGAGCCAACTATATGCTATCTACAATAACCCCACTGTAAATCTAAAAGTGCATGTAGATTAAAAGTAAATAGATTCTAACACTAATCAAAAGAAAGCAGGAGTGGCTATTTTAATTTCAGAGCTGACCTCAAAGCAAATAAAGTTATCAGGAATAAAGGGGGGAATTATGTAATTATAAGGAGGTTAATTCTCCAAAAAGACATAATCCTTAGTGTGTAAGTGCCTAATAACAGAGCGTCAAACTACATGAGGCAACAAGTGATAGAACTGCAAAAAGAAATAGATGAATCCACTATCACAGTGGGAGACCTCAACACCCTTCTGTTAGAAAGGGGAAGATCCACGGGCAGAAAATCAGTAAAAACATAAATTCAACACCATCAATCAACTGGATATAATGGACATCTACAGACTCCTTCATTAAACAGCAGAATAAGCATTCTTCTCGAGCTTATATGGAACATCCACCAAAACAGACCGCATTCTGGGCCATAAAATGCACCTTAACAAATTTAAAATAGAAATCATACAGTTTGCTCTCAGACTATAATGAAATTAAGCTACAAATTAATAACAGAAAAATAAATAGAAAATACCAAAATATACAGAGATTAAACAACACTTTTAAAGAGTTTTTATAAATATTTTTATTGATTTTTTTTTTTTTTTTTTTTAAGAGAGAGAGAGAAGAAGGTTTAGGGAGAGAGAGGCAGAAACATTGATGAGAAACATCAATTGGTTGTCTCCTGCATGACCTGTACTGGAGATGGAGCCCACTACCTGGGCATGTGCCCTGTCTGGGAATCAAACCAGTGACCTCTTGATGTGGGGTGGATGCTCAACCACTGAGACACACCAGCTGGACTAACCAATATACTTTTAAATTATACATGTGTCAAAGAAAAGATCTGAAGATAAATTTTTAAATATTTTGAACTAATGTAAATGAAAACAACATTTCCCAAAATTTATGGGATGCAGCAAAAGCAGTGTATAGAGGAAAATTTATAGCACTGAGGGCATATAGTAGAAAAGAAGAAAGATCTATGTTCAGTAACATAAACTTCACCTTAAGAAATTAGGAAAAGAGCAAATTAAATCCAAAGTAAGCAAAAGAAAAGAAATAAGAATTAGAACAGAAATTAATGAAACTGAAAATGGAAATTCAAAAAACCAATGCTAGTTCTTTGAAATGATTTTTTTTTAAAAAATCAATAAGCCTCTAACCAGATTAAATAAGAAAGAAGGCCAGGACAGAAATTAATAACAGAAATGAAGAGGGAAACATCACTACAGATCTCATGAACATTAAAAGAATAATAAAAAATATTATGAACAACTCTATGCCACCAAATGTGATAACCCGGATGAAATGGACCAATTTCTTGAATGATACAAACTGCCAAAACTCACACAAGAAGAAACAAATGATCTGAATAAATTTATATCTAAAGAAATTGAATTAACAATTAACAAGCACCCCAAATAGAAAGCACCAAATGGGTTCACTGTTGAAGTCCACCACACATTTAAGGAAGAAATTACAACATTCCTCAAATTTTATAACCATCACAAGTTGGATTTATCCTAGGTATGTAAGGCTGGTTCAACATTCAACAATCAAAGTAATCCATCACAATTTGTGTGGTTTTTTTAGTTTGTTTGTTTTGTTGTTTTTTTTTATTAAGGTATTATTAATATATGTGTACATATTTTACCATTGCCCACCTCTACTCCCACACATGCCTTCCCCCCCTCGCCACCATCACAATTTGTTGAGAAGACTCCATTGTATTACCTTTGGTCCTTTATCAAATATCAGGTGACTACACTTATGTGGATTTATTTCTGGGCTGTCTATTCTATTCCAGTGATCTATTGATGTATTTTTTTTTTTCACCAGCATTAACTTTTTTCTTTATCTTTGATTTTCTGTAGTTTGAAAATGATTTGCCTAGGTGTAGTTGGGTTTTTTGTTAGTTTTTTAATTTACCCTGTAACTTTTAACAAATTTTAGTGAACAGGCTGTATGTTGGAAAAAGCACTGTAGTAATTTCACCGACATAAATAAATATTACATGTCTACAATTATAATTTACATATTTAAATCCAAGAGTTACTGTGGTAAATAATGTTTGGCAAATAATTAGCACGAGATCACACCACATGAAGCTAGGTAACTGGTTCTGTTGTCACATGGCATGACTTTTTGCAGCAAATTTAATTCATGCCAGCCGATGTTCCCATGTGCACTAAGCCACGCCCTAGCCATGTGCATTTGTTTTCTCTTGGTGACTGGTGAGTGCACACATTAACTAGACCTATTCAGTATAAATTTATACATACATATAGAAAACTTTTCTACAAAATTAAACTTTTCATAAATTTTAATTACACAAACCTGTCTAATGTAAGTAAAATAATTAATTTGTCAATTTTTTAACATATGCATTCAGGAAACCTACTTTATTATATAACAGACTTTTAGCTTTAATGGACACCCCCTCACCCAAATTAGTCTGTTATATCAAGGTTTTACTGTAGTCATTAGGGTGATACATATTAGAACCACAATGAAACGCAACACAGATTATTAAAATGTCTAAAATGAAAAAGACCAACTGCACCACATTTGCTGAGGATCTAAAACAAATAGAACACCTAGCTTATGTTTCAGGGGTTGAGTTCTGGCCTATAAACAAGGAGGTCACAGCTCGATTCCCCGTCAGGGCACATACTCTGGTTGCGGGCTCGATCCCCAGTGTGAGGCACGCAGGAGGCAGCCAATCAATGATACTCTCTCATTATTGATGTTTCTATCTCTTTCTCTCCCTCTCCTTTCCTCTCTGAAATCAATAAAAATATATTTTTTTTAAAAATGGGAGACATACATCTTTTGCTGATGATGTAATAGAGTATAAACACTTTTAAAAACTAATGTGGTAATTTCTTTAACAGTTAAACATACAGCTGCATTGACCAGTCATCAAACTGGCAGGGATTTACCCAAGAAAATGAAAATGTATGTCTATACAAAGACTTGCATATGAATGTTCAATACTATTCCGCAATACAAAAGAATGAAATACTGGCCCATGAAACAATGTGGATGAATCTTAAAATAATGATGCTTCAATAAAGAAGCCAGATTCCTTCCTCCTAAAAGGAGTACATACTGTATTATTCCATTCATGCAAAATTATAGAAAATAGAAAATAATTTATAGTGACAGAAAACAGATCAACAGCTGTCTAGAAATTGGAGGAGGAGCAATAGTAAGAACACAAACAGACATGAAGAAAACTTTTGGGAATAATGATTATGTTCATTATTTTGATTACAGTGATGGTTGCTCAGATGTATCCATATGTCAGAGCTTAGTGAATCACATACACTGTGTGCTATTTATAATGTCAACTGCACCCCAATAAAGCTGTTTTTGAAAAGCAGAATTAGAATGAATAATATCCCAACAATGACATGAAATAATATCCATGATACATATTAAATAAAAAATTTAAAAGCTGTGGAATTATATATATCATAAACCCATTTATGCAAAATATATGTCTTCTTATGCTGAACATATACATGTGTATTGACAAAAAGTCTAAGAAAATATACATTAATTTGTTTATATAATGGAGAAGCAATATGGAAAGCTTTTCATTTTATATATCTCTGTATTGTTTGAACTTTGTATAACAATTGTACATTACTTCTGAAATTTAAAAGATAGAAGACAGTAAAGGAAATAATTAGCAGGTTAAAAGTCAATGGGCAAGATGAACTTCAAGGTAAAGTCCAAACTGACTTATTTTAATAAGGAAACGATGGACTCTGAGTTTGGTGAATAAATTTCCAATTGTGGAAAAGAGGCACATGCCTCCTCATAAGACTAACCAGCCTGAGAGCTGCCCGCCACTCTCTCCCAGGGGGAGTCACTACCTCTGGAGTCACGGATTCATGGATGACATCATTTGTCCGTTCCTCAGGTGTCCTGAGGCATAAAACCGCCAGGGGCTTTAAGAGACGTATAGTTCTCCCTCTGAGAGAGTCAAGGCTCCCGTAAGAACCTGACGAGGCTCCTGAGCCCACAGTCCTCGGGCAGTCAGTACCTTGGATGATTTTCTGCTGCTGCTGCCGGATTTCATCAAAACCCAAGCCTCTAGTCTCCTCCGGCTCCTCAAAGAGCCAAGGGTTGGGTGCGCCTCGCTTAGCCCCTCCCGTCATCAGGCTGGACCTAGGAACAAGATTAAATGTGTTACATAACTCAAAAAATATAGCTCGGCTGCAAATTACTCCCACAAGTGCGGAGGTGGCCAGCCTCGAATGCTTTGAAAATTCAATCCAACCACAATTTATTGCAGCCTATGTCGATGCCAGCAACTGTGCTCGGTGCTGGAAGAGGCCTAAGGATGAATAAAGCACAAGCCCGGTCCTCTGGAGAATTACAGCCTGCGAAGGAGGCTATGGTAGCACATAATGCTCTTACTAATCCTCCAAGATGCATTAGAGTCAATAATCACAAATGAGGGCCTTAAATTTCAAAGTCCCGAGGCCAATGGAAGTAGCCTTTTTGGGGACAAAGTTTGTCTAACAGGCCTATGTAACATCAAAGGCACATATTTCATCTCCAGAAGATCCAAATTTACAACCACAGATTACAGCATTAAAAAATAGCCACATAATTTTCTATTAATGGGAATTATGTAACTCGCAGATAGACACACACGCAGGGTTTCAAATTCAATTTTATGAATGTAATGTAGCATTCATAACATAATAAATTCTGAATTATCAATCTTAATCTCTCTCCCGGTGGTGAACCACATGCCCCTTCTGCGCCAGACACGTTGGTCTCCTTGCTGTGTGAAGACGGGGTACACACGCTCCAGCCTCAGTCCCGTGTTTATCAGGTCCTTCTCATCTCAAGTACTCCCATTTGTGTTCTCACCAGCCCACACTGTCCAGGCCCCAAGGACCATCTTGTTCGTGAAACCATCTCTGACTACATCAATCCTGATGTGAATAGTCACTTTAGAGTTCACAGGATTCATAAAAAATGACGAATACCACCATGGCGACATAGCGGTAGGAGCAGTGACAACATAAGTGCAGGTGACTTACAGGTATTCACTAGCACTGTCTGTGATTCTTCTAGCCCTTTCTATTCTCATCTCTTTTTATTGTCTACAGATAACTGCTAGCTTATTGTTTAACTTTTTATGTAAATGTCTACTAGGCAGAAGGCAGGAACTAAAATCACCCGTGATGGGACTGCACACAGCTTCCCAGCACAGAGTAAACAGCTGTCAGCTCCACCCCCTACCAGCAACACGGTAACATCTGCCTCAGAGAGCTCGCCTGGTTGCAGCGTAGTTAGTCCCCGTACACCCACAGGTGGTGGGTTCAATCTCCAGTCGAGGAGAGTAAGGGAGACAACCAATTGCTCTTTCTCTCCCATTAATACTGTTTCTCTCCCCTTCTCCTTTCCTCTCTCTAAAAATAAAATAAAAAGTAAAACAATAAAGCACAAAGCTCTGAAAAGGTTCTAAGCAATAGCAAAGTTATCTTGGTCTTACTCTCACTATAACAGCAATAGTAAAATGCGGTAAAATGATCCCCTAAAGCCTTCTTTCTCAGTTATCTGATCCCAAAGCTTCTGTTACGTTTTCCAAGGCGGAGCTACCTCTCTCTCTGTTCTTCTGGTGTTTGTCTTTTGCTGATGCCCCAAACCTGGGGGAAAGCCAGCAACCGTCACCTCTACTAAGGAAGCAGGTCAGATGGCAGGCGTCACTATGCAGAGACTTGATTTTCTTTTCTTTAGGGTTTTACGCTCAACTTAAAGTTTGGACTGATGCCTACTATTACTCAGTTTTCTCTTAGGTAGAAAGAAAATATGGAAGAACTTAAGACATAATTCTTGTTTTCAAGGAGTTTGCAACCAAACTGAAAAGAAAAACTAACCACACATGAAGGAATTGCTAACTGAAGTAAGAAAACTGCAGCTCTGTGTCCCTGGGCACTTCCAGCAACCTCCTCAGCCCATAAAACAAGTGAACTAAGTAGGTCAATGGTTTTCGAAAGTTCTGGTCAAATGCTCGAGGAACAGACACCCTCGTTAACAGTCATTAACAGCGGTGTGGGAGGTGAGCGGGGAGGACTCATCTCGGTGGGAGAGCCAAGCATACCCTTTTCTCCTGCAGAAAATGACTTTCTGTCATTGGACATCACCGGATGAGATGATCTGTAAGATCCGAACTGCTTTAATTACAATTTTTCTCATTAAGTATTAAACTGCACAAATAAGAACAGAAAAAAACAAACACAAAAAACAAAACAAAACAAAACACCAATGCTCACAAAATTCATTCTCCTCTCCCCCAGTCTTTCTATTCTTACCACAGACCCATGGGCTCAGACCAAACACCCTGGAATGATCTCTGACTCTCTCCTACCCCGCACACCTAACACATTGGAAATCCTTCAAAACATGTCTAAAATCTGATGATTCCTCCTTTTCTCTCTTGCTTCCACCCTATTGCCCCTGCCTCGTGCTTCCACTCCTACCCTCCACAATCTACTTCCCAAAGAGCTGCCAGAGTGACCATTGTAAAAACAGATTTGCTTCCTCTGCTCTTCCCATCCACCTTTAAAACACATCTTTACTGCAACTACGAGCCACGCTGGGTTCCTTGCTGCCTCTAGAATACACTGAGCACATCCACATCTCAGGGACCTTGCACCCACTGTCCCCTCCAACCTAAGGGCTAAGGCACGCCTCCCTGTCTTCCCTCACCCCCACCCCATGGTCATGTGGCCTTGCTCCCTTATTCACTCTCCTTTGCTGAAATGTCACCTCAGACAGGTTTCCCTGACCACTCTAAAACAGTACCCTGCCCTATAACTCAGCCCCCCCCAATCCTGTTGTATCTTCTTTACAGTACTTAAACCATCTGCTAGTATGTGATATATATTTGTTGATTTTCTGTCTCCTATGCAAGACTACAAACTCCACAATGAAAGGGACTGCCTTGTTTGTACTATATCCTCAGTGCCTCGTATAATAGACACTGAAAAAAAAGGCTGAATGAATTAACTAATTCAGCAAAAAACATAAACAAATGAATGAAATAAACAAGCGTAGTCGGGAAATTATAGTATCATATGTTTTGTAATTTCAAAGGCATTTCACAAACATTATTTCATTTGAATTGTACACAAGCCTGTGCGTAAGTCAGAGTTGGTATTACTGACAAGAAAACTAAGGTAACACGGCTGGTGCGGCTCAATGGTTGTACATCAACCTATGAACCAGGAGATCATGGTTTGATTCCCTGTCAGGGCAAACGCCTGAGCTGTGGGCTCGATCACCTGTGGCAGGAGGCAGCCCATCAATGATCCCTCACCATTGATGCTTCACTCTCTGCCTCTGCCTTCATCTCTGGAATCAATAAAAATATATTTAAAAAGAAAAGAAAACCAAGGTAAAGAAACATCATAGTGACGTCCTCCAGGTCACACACTTAGTGGAAAAGCTAAATGTTCAATGCACAGCTTCTGACTCTTAACCCAAGGCACTTTCCACTACCTCAGGCAAGGTTTCAGAAAGGCAAGGAGACTCAGGACCACCTTGAAGAATGGGTAGCTTTAGCTATGTGAGAGAGATGGTAAGGCATTGCAAGAGAGGGTAAGAACATGAATGGAGTCTCAGGGCAGGGGCTATAGGCCATATATATATATATAGTGGGATGGCAGTGGAGAGTGGGTGAAATTCGAGGGGCTGGATCTAGTAGTATTGATTCCAAAGTAGGTAGCCACTGTGAACCTCTTTCTGTTCTCCTAGTCACTTTTATCATCACTCTCTTCCAGAATCTTGTCATTTTAGCCATACTATAAAACCTCAAGCAACAACTTTCTTTCCTATTCACAGCCCAGCTTCCTGAAACAATGAACTGTGCTCATCAATTCTACTTCCTGACCCTCACAGTTCATTCTTCAATCCACTTCTGCCCCATTACTCTACTAAAATTCTTCTCTACCACCAGCTTACTGCCAAATCTCCTCCCAGGTGTCACTCTGCCCCTCTTCTAGCCTCATGTGTCATGGCTGACTTTATGCTTTTACCCATGAACCCCCGCTCCCCTGGTTTCTTCCATCCCACCTCTCCCACTGAGAGAGCTTTCTCTGGAATTTGCAGGTAACTCTCCGTCTGCCCCTTAAATATTGCTGTTCTTCAGGAATTCTATTTAGATCTTCTCTTTTCACTATATTGTCTCTCTCTGGGCAACTGTATCAGTTCCAGTGATTTCAAGCTGTAAGAACAGGAGCTAGCAGTGATTAAACACTTTTTACTCCCCAACACAAACTCAACCGCACTTCCTTTTGAATCATTATGGTGGTAGATTCTTAATTGGGGTGGGAGAGGGGCATCTCCCTTCCCTAGCAGGGCAATATCAGAATCTGGGGGTGGAAGGTAGAATATAAGGAACAAAAGAAACGAACATAGAAAATAGAAACAGACTCACAGATATAGAGAATAGACTAAGGTTGCAGAGTGGAGAAGGAATAGGAGATTGGGTGGGTGAGTGAAAAAGGTGAAGGGATTAAGAAGTGCAAACTGGTAGTCACAAAATAGTCCAAGATGTAAAGCAAAGTAGAGCCTAGGGAATATAGTCAATTATATTTGCAAATTGTCCACTTGAAAGTTCGACCGGGAGAGAGGAAGTTCGACACTTGCTATGACATGTGCTAACCACAAAGGGGTGGGCGACCAGCAGTGGCAGTGGGGCACTGAGGGAGCGAGAAAAGGAGGAGGTGGGGAGGTGAGAAGGCCAGGCCTAGGGACCCTACCCTGCACCATTTTGTACACCAGGCCTCTAGTCTTATCTAATAAAGAGGGAATATGCTAATTGGCCCTCACACCATCGCAAATATGGCAGCGCCCACAGCCAATAAGGAGGGAATATGCTAATGCTGCCCCACCTTCAAAGATGGCAGCACCCAGTCCCCTCAGCCCTGCCAGGGTGGCAGGAGCATGGCAAGGCCGCACACCTGCCTCCGGAGTCCTCCAATCCCCTCAGCCCCCCAGGCACCCAGGGCCGCCCGAGGCTCAGGTAACCAGGGCTGGCCGAGGCTTGCATTGCTGGCAGGTATCAGGGATAGAGATAACTGGGATGTCTTTGGCACAGTAGAGGTGTGATGGGAGCGTCACCTTTTCCCGATCACCGGGTCACCTCC